AACTCAAAGAAACATCTGAATGAGTGTGTAAAGTCTGCAGTTTGGAACCACGTGCTTTTTGAGGTCTCTGACTGAACACATCTGAGCATGCTTCGTGTGGATGCAGGTAAACAGTCAGTGTAGCAGCGGAGACATGAAGTCAGACCATCAAGCGGGTCCACAAACTGCCAGCAAATGAATCAGATGAGCAATCGCTGCGAGGCTTTCAGGACAGAGGGACTTGTTCCATATTTACGAAGCAGATCTTTAGCTTCTTGTAGGAGCGAGTCCGAGAAAGACATTGAAGATTTGCTGAGATGCAGAAGAACCAGACAGCATTCCACAACATCTGGGTGAGGGTACACCTGAAAGACAAAAACATTCATGCTGTAGCCCGGGGGATCCGTGTTTCATCCTAATAATATATTAAATTACAAATATAATAAAACATCTAAAAAGTGAAGAGTTCCTGTGACATGTGAAGAGAAATCTGCAACATAGTGAACTATTTGTGCAACTTAAAGCACTTCTTGCTGTTAAGATGTCAAACTGTCTGGTTGTGCTAATCAGAAATGCTTTACAAGGAGCATGATGGGATAGCCAGCAGGTACCCTGAGGGTAGAGCTGTGAGCAGAGAAACAGGTCAAAACTGACACATGAAACTGCTCCCTCTCCCTCTGTGATCTCTCTCTGTAGGTGAGGGAGCACAAAAGTCCTTGGTATATCTTACTACTTGACTGTCACGTTGAAATGACAAATACTGCATGCACAGAATCAACGTTAACATCCTCTCTGAAAGGTTTACTTCCACGACTGCCTTCAGGATACTTTGGGAGAGACGACTCTCTCTCGTAAGCTTTGGTTGTACCTTGAGTGTGTTTGGCAGCTCAGCCAGCTCTTTCTGATGCTTGGACATCTTCGAGGATAATGACAGCAGAGTCTCCGGGTCCTCAGAGCTGGGGAGAAGAAACAGCCTGATTCAGCAATCAAAGTTAATGACAAAGAAAATAAGACCACGAGATGGCTGAGACTGATGGGAATGAGGTTAGTTTTAGACATGGCCCTGATTTCAAAGAAAAAGTGATGCGCAGTAAAACGAGTTTGATAATCATGGCTATAGTGCTATGATCGTGGGTCTGATAATCACATCTAAACAATAAAAACATAAGAAGCTGGCGCTAAGCTCTCACCCCTGCTCAGCCTCAGCAGAGTCCTGACTGTCTGAGGATTCCCTGGTGGTGGAAATCACTACAGGGCTGTCATCCCGTTTCTCCCCAGAGTCGAGCTGCCCTCCCTGGGTCTGGCTGTGCTGCTGCACCATGGCGGCGAGCTGCTGCTGGATCTCTCTCACAGCTCTCTGGGTGGCCTGGCAGGCAGCGTGAGGCTCACACAGAAGGAGTGACGGATCTAAGCCCAGTTTGTGAAAACTCCCACTCACAGGACGCTGGGTCTCTGCCGACTCCAACAGCCCTCCGTTTGACACCTCATCCTTCACTTCACCTTCAGGAGACGAGTCAGCCAACGACAGGGAGAGGCCGTTCTGGATCTCCTGGCTGCCTCC